GCATGTGGCAGACCCCAGTAACTTGGGGAAGAAGAGTCATTTCCGCAAACTTCGACGATGATTGACCCGAGAGCTTCGTCGCATTAAAAATGCATGGAGTACGGAGAAGGCGAAGCAGATGGAATGCTACGCCGAACGCAGCCAACACAAGGAATTCTTTGACTACTTGAAAGCGATGTATGGACCGAGATTGGAGCCGCTGAGGACGCTGATCGATGGTACTTCAGGCGCTACCTGCAAACAGTCTGCAGATCTAGCGGAAACACTTTGTCTCTTGAGGCGTCTGGTGGACACGCCGACATTGGATGAGACGCAGAGAGCAGTTGCTCAGCTGCGAAACCGCATGTGTGCTGGGTCCGACGGGATCCCGCCTGAAGTATTGAAACACGGCGGACCTGCGTTGGTGACTGCGATGCACCACTTAGTGCAACGCGTGTGAATTGAGGAGGTACCTCCTGAGCTGAAGAATGCCCTTGTGTTATCACTGTACAAGAGCAAAGGGATCAAGCAATGTGCCACGAATTATCGTGGCATCAACTTGCTGAGTTGTGTAGGTAAGGTCATTTCCCGATTTCTGCTCAACCGCCTCGTCAGGCAGGTTGTGGAACTTGACGTGGCGGAAGAGCAGTGTGGATTCCGTTCGGGTCGCAGCACTATAGATATAGTGTTAGTGGCTTGTCAGTTGCAGAAGAAATGTAGACAACGGCACCAGCCAATGAACTAACGTCTTTTGATTTCAGCAAAGGCATTTGATACGGTGAACCGCGAGGCATTGTGGCTGGTGTTGGGTAAGTTTGGTTGCCCGCGTAAATTTTTAAGTTGAATTGAATATCTGCACAGTGGTATGCGGGCGAGAGTGCAGCTGAGTGGACAGACGTCGGATGACTTTGCAGTTGTCACTGGTGTGAAGCAGGGCTGTGTCTTAGCTCCTGCCCTGTTTAACATATATCTTCATGTCATGAAGTTCTGTGCTTTTGATGCCGCTTGTGCTTACGGTGTTCGTGTAAAGCACCGTATTGATGGTGGGTTGCTGAAAATTTGTTGTTTCATTGCGAGAACCCTAGTCTGTGAGACAACTATCCGTATGTTGTTGTTTGCTGACGACTGTGCGTTGTTTGTACACAGCGCAGATGAGTTGCAGCACATGACTAGTGCTCTGGCTTCCACAGCGGCAAAATTCGGGATCACCATCAACATAAACACCGGAGGTGCAATCTACAGTTTTGCTGCAAAGCAGCATTGGTGATGACGTATTGGAAACCAACTCCCGCTTCTGCTACTTTGGGAGTGTGATGTCGACTGACCAGCAGCTACACATTGAGCTTCGTATCCGCGTCTCGAAGGCAGCGGCGGCATTCGGGAAGCTGGAGTACCGAGTGTGGAACAACCATCAGCTTACCGTTGACACGAAGCTGATGGTGTACAAATCCATGGTGCTGTCCGTACTTCTATACGGCAGCTTATCGTGGACGATATACCGGCCGGATGTGCGATATTTCGAGCGGACTTTGCGCATTGGTTGGTGCGACAGAGTTGCGAACACGGAAGTGTTGCGTCGAAGTGGAATGTATGCATTGGACTGCATACTTTTGCTGAGACACCTGAGGTGGCTCAGTCATGTGTGGCGTATGGATTCGAGGCGCATGCTGAAACAACTATTATCTGGTCAGCTGAGTGTTGGGAAGTGGCATGTGGGGAAAACGAAGCTTCCTTACCAGGACATGATCAAAGTGAGCCTATCACGTTCTAATCTTGATTGCAGGTCATGGGAATCGAAGGAGGTTGATCGGCGTACATGGTGCGATCTGATCACGAAGGCAGCTGCCGAAGTAAGGGAGAAAGTCCTCATGGATGCAGAGAAGAAGCGGCAAGCACCGATGGGTTGTACTCCATCGACAGCAAGCGCATAGTGCTGTAGCACATACGGTCGCGAGTGCCTGAGTCAGGCAGGTCTCGTGTGTCATGAGCGAGGCAACTCAGGATTTTCACGGAAGCGACGACGGGTCCTGCAGAGGACGTGGGCAGAACCGGCGCAGCAATTGTGGGTACGCTGCATTCGATTTACTAACCGCGTGCTTGTATGCTGAGTCTCTTCGTTTCAGGTGGCGGGTTTGCAATTTTGTCCTAGTGGTTTTCTCTCTCATATTAATCTCTATCTGTACTACCTTCTATAAAGTTGCACACGTCGCTTAAGCTAATTGTATTTAACTTCTATAATATTCGCGCGTTTGTCGCATTTGCTTGAAATATATTTTCGGACGTCTTGACTCATGGCGGATTCGTTCGTAATCAATTTCTATTTATACGCTAATTTAGTCAAGATTTATGTCTCTGTATCTCTATGCGTTAACCGAATTATTTTATTTCATCTTGTCTTTTCAAGTGATTGGCTGTTGATTGATATCCCCGGTGTGGCTGCGCTTGATGTGCACGTTGACAAGGTGCCTAACTGTCTATTACCCATTACCTCGTCCATATTGGCTCCAGGAGGCAGTTGGTCGTTGCTGGAGGGGACGGGGTGCACGGCCCTTGTGGACCACCGTCCAGTCACCGTTTTGCGTACGATTGATTACAAAAAGACAGCGCGCTTGTGTTTGACTGTGAAGGAGTGTGGGCCGGCTCCGTTGATGAAACGTGGCTCCCATCCACCTGCCTCGCGGTCTTATTCCTTCGGGTTTACACAGGATATGGGGTGTGTGATTGGAGCTGTGGGTGGTGCAGCGCAAGTCACCCATGGTCCCTCTGAAGGCGCAGGCGTCCAGTGGCCGGCCACAGTGATAGGCAAATCCGAAACCGGATGCCGCCAAGCATATATATATATATATATATATATATATATATATATGCGAAGTAACACATCTCCAAGAACATGTATACAGTGCACCTACTTAAGTGCTTGCAAAAAGGACTCCATCGCGGACTATGAGCCGAAAAGAGGTGGCAGGGCTGCTGTATGAAATCAAGGACATGATAGCGAAATGAGGTGTAGACGGACCTGACCCTTCCTGCAATTTACTACCGCCTAGGGTGTTCTTCAGTGTCTGTGATAACTTCGTATTTGTGTTGTGAAGCAAGTTCTTTAGTTGTCTAGTGTAATAAAACCCAGGTAAGATACTTACGTTCCAATCAGATCCGTCACGACCGAATTCGGACGCTGTCATTATCCAAACAATTGCTAGATGGTAAGTTCGTTTCATTGGGATAAGCAAATAGCTCGTATTCCCACCGAACCCATCAGGAATCTAATTGAAGGTATTCCAAAAACTGTTAGTCATGCTCTATCGGGCCGTGGGTAACTGACGGACCACGTGAGTGAAGTACCGATTAGTTTGATAGAAGCAAGTAAATTGGTACCGTTAGGTACTCAGTTTCAGCGCGTCTCTAACACGCAGAAACGGTATCACGTTAAGCGTCATGGAAGTGACTGGAAGCGTGAGTAGGTCGCGAGAACTCCTGGGATGGACAAAACTAGTACGAGAAGGATTTTGAGAACCAGGCCAATTTCAGTCGTGCTCAAGGCCACATCGATCACAGTTAATCTTCTTCAAATGCTGAAGAAGTGGCGTATATACAAATGACTTGAAAATCGATTTCGAGGCCGGGTTGGTAATGTCAGCTTGCGATACTACTTACTATTGAAAGGCGTGCCAGGGAGACTTCCGTATGCTAATATCTCCGGCGGCTCTCTCCTAAATTGACTACTACAAGTGTGGCGTGCCAGGGACGCGCGTCAAAAGTGCGATCGAAATTGTCATGAGACTGTTGTTCAAACGTCTTTCGGAGTGCAAGTTTGACAAGGTGACCAACCGACAAAATTGTGGAGGAAAATGTAATTCTCCAGCGCCTATGTGAGCGCGATGAGACCGGGTTTAAACATGATGTAACGAATTGCATGCCTCCAGAACGACGCAAAACCGACAAGTCAAAAGATTAGAGGTCAGATAAGAAAAAGCACAGCATTCGCTTAACTGGAGGCCACAGTCTATGGGCTACACGCTCACAGCTCGAATGATGTAGAGCATGAGTGAAACGCATTGTCTCCGATAGCTGAAAAGCATCAGCCGATGCTCTGTATTTTGCTAGCGTCCGCCTCAAACCAAGCAGTTGCCGGCTAAAAAGATGTAAATCCGCAACCCGCACCTGCGGTTGGATGTGTTCTTAGATGTGCAACACACAACCGTCAAAGAACACGCATGCACCGTCTTGATTCTTCCAGCACTACACGTGATGGGAGTATGCAATCACACATCCGAGCTGGACATGCGCCTCTCGCTATTGAGGCAGAGAGGTATAGTGCCTCAGACAAAAGGCTTTCTTGGAACGGAAAGCAGGAAGACTATTTTTGCCCGCAAAACTCTCTCCCTAATAGTCTTCCTTCATGGATGTAAACGATTACACTACAGAGCAGCGTTGGTCCCTGGAGTACAACTTCCTTAACCATTACAACTACTGATGTCAAATAGTGGAGGGATCGAAAATCGCTCCTATGTTGAGAAGTACTCGCCATAAGGTGACTGAAACCCGACAAAACCCCTGGCCGGCCTAGCTTAATCCACCAAACTAGTAGGCTACACGGTTAAAGAACGGGACCCTAGTTTCCTTGGTACTCCCTGATGATTACTGAATACTGAGAATAGAGAGTAAGTAGAGATACATCTGTGTTGCTCCATCGTAGTCAGATCAGGCACGTGGGTGGAATCACATCACTGATTCCTGTGTGTTTGCAACATATTACAGCTACACCATAGATTATTTGGGTGCGATGCGCGCCCTAAATGTGAAATTCGCGAAGTGGGTGTCCAGGAGTCGCTTGAATTCCGACACCGATTGCGCCTCGACTATTTTCTTGGGCAAACTGTTCCAATATTTCACCAATCGATCTCCTATACTTTTGTTGTCATGCACTTCCATTCGACTGGAACACTGATGGAGTACAAACAGTTGGTGGAGAGTCTAGAAGATGGACTGAATTTGTGTAGTCCCCTACTGTCAGTACAAAATTCTCAAATGAAAACTGGTTTATGGAATCAAATTAATTGGAAAATACCTCCCTGAGTAGGTGTATTTTCGTAAATCACAGTGTAATCTGATTAAGTTGGAAAGCCAGTTTGCCAAAATACCAACACATATGAAGGTTGTCAAAAGAAGTCAAAGTGTGTGAAATAAAGAAAATTATGCCAAATAAAATAATCCATATGAAAGAGTCGTAAAGTAAAACATCTCGAATGTAATGATACACCGTTTGAGAACTATTTTGGTCGAAAGGAGGTCATATTGCAGGAATATGTTCTTGGACTCTGGTTAAAGTGGACGGTAGACCTGTGAAATACCCATCATCCATCAGAAGACTAGCCGGCTGAAGTGGAGGTTGGATTTAGGCAAATGATGAGGTCACGCTGAGGCTCCAGCTACGATAGCGAGCAACCGCCGCTGTCGCTCGATCCCCGTGATTGTTGCGAGGGCTGCTCATTCAAGGAAGCTGCAAGTGCCAGCGCCAGTTGACGGTCTTCCTCTTCTTGTAACCGACGGGATTCGTCAACTGACTGAGGAGTTGACTCGGTGTTGTGCGTGCTCATACGGGTATCCTGAGAATGTTTGAGAAGACGATATTTGAAAACAGCAATACAAAAAACTAGTCGTTAGGATATGTAACAAAAATATTCCGTGTCGGCAGTGAGTATAGTGATGTCGTACAAAGACGGCAGGTTCCGGAAACGGAATGATATATGTGCAATCATACAAAATGATAAATTTCTCAAGTACTTGCAAGACCAAATAAAAGAAAGCTTATGTCACAAGCGCTAGCAGCTTCCAGTTGCAAACACATGCTGCATCGCATAATAAGAGTCAGATACGAAGCACAAAGTCATTAACCTATAACGATTGCCTCATCAGACAGCAGTTTAACTACCGATGCTGATGAGCTCCGTGAGTTATTTAATAAGCATTCATCATCATCATCATACACGTTAGCTAGAGGTGGGGAACACCTCAGCCACTGTGCCGCAATACACAGGATAAAGGAGAAAAAAGAATTCAACTGGGGCAAGCCGGATGAGCTACCAGCAACGGATAGGCATCGTTCCGGTAAGCTACCAGCCGGCTATTATGCATCAAAAAAAATTACTATGCAAAATTATATAAAATTAAACAATGAGATCGTAGTTGGAGGGGGAGTCTAAGAAAAATTGGGGTGGGACAAAGAAACTCACAGCACGAACGCCACTGAGGTCGGCTCCTAGCCATATCAGCAAGTGTGTCCAACCAAAGGTGTTCATCCTCTTTCGGACCTCAACCAGGGAACCGAGACGCTCCAACCGAGGCCAGCACCGAAGTGAGGACCTTTATTCCTCTCGACCAAGTCATCGCATGGCCACCCCTCCTCTTCTTCCATCCACACCCGCGGCGCGCAAACAACGCACGTCGCGGAAGTCGGTGGGCTGGCATGCGTAACACGTGGCCGAGCCATCGGAGCCTGGTGCGTGAAATAACGGTGCTGAGCGCTTCAGTTCCTTTTCCTGTGCCATAAACAAGGCGTCGAACAAGCTCGTTGCTCACGCGGTGTTCCCACAGGATGTGAGCTAAATTACGAAGGCATCAGTGGTCGAACGTAACTAGCCTCTTCAGGTCCGCTGCTTTAAGCTACCAGGTATCACAACCGTAAACTAGGGTCGAACGTACTGCTGCATTGTACACTCTATCCTTCAGGGCAAGAGCGATGTCGCGCCGGAGCCATAAGTGACGAAGGTTAGCAAAAGCGCCCTGAGCTTTTGCTATACGGTTCGTGATCTCATCTTCAATCCCACGGGCGCTGATACAACTTCCCAGGTAGTTGAATTCTTGGACGACTTCTAGCTGGTCTCCACCAAGGGTCGGCGTAGGGGGCGGTCCAGACCAATCTTGGAGGAACGCTTTGCACTTCGAGGGTGCGAAGCAAAGCCCGAAGTGACGGACAGCTAGTGCTAATCTGTCCAGTGCAGCTTGACACGTTTGTGAGCTGTCACAGATCAGGGCAATATCACCAGCATACTCTAAGTCAAGAAGTCGTTCTCCTGGGAGTAGCTCCACACCTCCTAAGTCTTGTCCTGTAAACGCGATTTCCATGACTTCTTCAACAGCGAAGTTGAAGAGGAAAGGTGACAGCGAGCATCCTTGTCTCACGCAGCTGGAGATATTAAAGGGCGACGACAACTTGCCGTAAGCCCTCACACTGCACGAGCATTTAATGCTCGGATAATATTCACATATTTCTCGGGCACACCCTTCCTGAGTAGACAGTCCCAAAGCGCATGTCCAGCCACCGAATCGAATGCACCTTTGATATCGAGGAACACGACAACTGTGGGCCGCCAATATGTGTGGCGGTGCTCCAACAACTGACGCAAGGTGAAGATGTGGTCAATGCAGCCACGACCTCGACGAAATCCAGCTTGCGCTTCACAAATCTGGCTTTCACGAGTGCCAGTCGGTCTGTGAAGGATGACAGAGGCAAGCAATTTGGAGGCGATGGAGATCAGACTGATTCCTCTATGGCTGCCGCATTCCGATCGTGAGCCTCCTTTGAAAATTGGGACTATGACGGAGCGGCTCCAATCGGTTGGGACAGTTTCCTGCTCCCACAGTTTGACTAGTAACTCGTGTAAATCATCCATAAGAGCAGGTCCCACGAATTTGAAGAGGGCTGGAGGAAGATCATCTGGTTCCGCGGCTTTATTTAACTTCAACAGTCCGACCAGTGGCCGGCGAGAAATCTAACCATTCCGACCGATTTAATTGCCTTTCAAAGTGCTCAGCCCAACGCTCTAAGCGTTTTGATAAGTTGTGGATAGGCTGTCCACTCACGTCACGTATAGTTTCACTAACACCAGGTCTCATGCTGCCCGTTTCCCGTATCAGACGGAATAACTTACGATGGTTACCAAGGGCAGCGGCCATCTCCATCTCTATTGCACGAGGAGACCACCAGGATTCGCGGTCTCTCTTCAGGCTAGCACAGAGTTTTGCCCGGAGCTCTTTGCGTGTTTCCTTATATTCGCTTCCAACCTGAAAACGTCGGTGAGTATCCACATGTTCCGGAGACTGTGTAGAGACCCAGTGTCCAAGTTGGCGATTAGACACACCACATGAGGATTTTCCTGCTGCTAGTAAGGTCTGGTGAACATGAGACCAGTGAGCTTCAATTACATCCACTGAGCGTTTATCCAACTCGCATGACAGTGTACTTTGATAGGCATTCAGAACAGCTGGCTTCGCCAGTTGGCTGGTGTCAATGCGCTCACAACGTCATCGTGGGCGTCCGCCAAAACGCATCCGAATGTCAGCAAATACCAGTGCATGGTCGGTGTCCACACCTGTGCTCCAAAGCGAACGACAGTTCTGGACGCAGCCTCTCCATCGGAAACTTATCGCAATGTGATCGATTTGCGTCCATAGCTGGTTCGAGGCTGGTGGGCGCCAAGTCACCCTTCGGCGGGTGCTGTGTCTGAAATTAGTGCTCGCAAGAAATAAGCGAGCATCCTCACACAAATGAAGTAACCGCTCACCGTTATCATTACGGGAGCCTATACCATGTTGGCCGCCCAGATGCAGATCATCTGTGGATAATTTTCCAACTTGGGCGTTCAGATCCCCAGCCAGCACTACAGTGTCTGAGCTTCTTCTGTGGCGAAGGAGCTCGTTCAGTTGACGATAGAAGTCGTCTTTTACCGAGTCATCGCTACAGTTTGTGGGTGCGTAGGCAGCGATAAAGAAATGGACGTCTGTTAGTCGCGCGCGACTTCGAAGCTTTGAACGAGCCAGCCAATCGGACCGCACACATCCGGCTACTGATTGGAATCCAATCAACCAGAGTAGCTTCAGCCCGGGGACTCAGGGCAATACCAACACCGGCTTGGCCGGTGCTCGAAGCTGCATCATCACCGGATAGGCGCCATGAGAAAGTGCTGCTAGTGTCACCTGAAGGGGATCGCAGAGTGAATACAGAGCTCGAGTCTTGCAGGCGGGTCTCCGATAAGCAGCAGATATCGATCGAGAGGGTTTCTAATGTTCGAGCAAGTGCTGCCTGTTGACCGATCTGAAGTAATGTGCGAACATTGAGGCATGCCAATCTGAAGGAGGATCGAGGGCTCCAAATGGAAGCCAATGAACTGGGGTGCACCGCTTGCTTGGACATGGGCAGGAATGACGCTCCGCGTTCACGTGTGAGTTGAAACTAAAAGGCAAGCGACTATTGAAGCAACGTGGGGGAGGGCCGAGAAATGGGGGTTAAAAGTGAAGTTGGAACGGGACGATAAGGGTGAAAAAGCGCAAAGACGAGAAGGCTTGGGCAGTGGCATCCAAACCCCTATCCATCCTGCCCGATGCAGCAGATAGGGCACCGTTGATTGTCCTCTGCGGTGGCCAGAGCATCAGAAATTTGTTTGGGGAAAGATTCATTGTATTGCGTGGGCAGGATACTGTCAGGTTGCCCAGGCCTAGACAGGAGAACGATTAGGGTTCTCAACCAAAGCCTTTGGTTCAAAAACCTGACCGCAAGGCGGGTTTGGCATTGGGCTACAAGGAGTCCGTTTTAAGGAATAAGGAGCCACCCTCATTCCAAACCCCAACCTGGAGGACCAAGAGGCTGAGTTTGTCTGGCCTCTAACCATTGACCAATCTGGTATGAGTGGCTCTGAAGGCGCAAAAAATGCACCACCCAGTATAGCTCAATGGATCACAGAGGCACACAAACCATCGCACCACGGTAAGGTTCAGCCTCGTCGTTTAATACAAGTACAGTTGCTGTACAAGAAAGATTGCCTCTACTCACCAATGAAGCAATCTGTATAGCATTATCAGGCAGATAGCCGCCCTAAAGCATTCTTTCACCCTGGACCTGACAGCATAACACCATCATTGCTTAAACGCGCTGTGCCCGATATTCCCTTGTTCCTGCTAAAGATATACACCTTGTCAATTAAGGCTAGTGTATACCCTGCTGCGTGGCCGGAGAGCCTATGGTGCGCTGAGGCTGGTGGCGGCTAGATCCTGACAGATAGTCTACCCACTGCTGCTCATATCCTGAAAGCGTCGTGGCGATCGCTGGGTGGGAGTTGGGCTACGCCCTTCTCACTGCCAAGATCCAGGACACCAATCCGCATGAGTAAGTGAACTGACCATGTGCTAGACCCGTTGTCTTTCTGATGTACACTTAGTCGAAGGCTTTGGCTGAGGATCCGAGTCGTTCTCCTGTCAGGTTTAGGCGCCCTGCCAGTATCCTAGTCCAGCCTCTTGAAAGGTTAGGAAGTGGTGGATGGCCCACTCTCCGTAAAACTCAGCCATAAGAGATAACAGGTCTACGGGGTATAAGCTCACAGCTCGATTGGCGTAGAGCACGAGCGTAACGCATTGTCTCTGACGGTGGGAGGGTACCTCCGGGTGCTCAATGGTTTGCTATTACCCGCCTCAAGCCAAGCAGCCTCTGGTCAAATTGGTGCAAACCCGCCTAAACTATCCTGCGTCTGGCCGATGTCGCAGGTGTGCATCCTACTACGGTCGCAAAACATATATACATACTTTCAGTACCTCAGAGGCTGCGTGTGACGGC